GGAGGAGGGGGCCCGGACAAACAATTCCGGGTTCTGGAAATACATCTGTTTAAGGCGGTAAACTCGGCGAGACAACAGCCTGGACTACGCTCTCCCCTCCCCTCCCCCTTCCCTCCCCTCCGTCCCCCCCGTCTCTATTATATAAGGGTCCCTTTCTTCCACTTAGGGTTTTCGTTATCTTTCGATCATGGTTCGTTCAAACTCGTCTTCAACGTCGTCTCGATAGGATCATCACCCAGCTTCCAAAATTGCTACTCCACTGCAACTACGACACCTGCGCGGCTTCTCCATCAAACCTGACGTCAGTATCCCACTTTATGATCTAGACTGTCATCTAATATTTCTTAGGGTGTAAACCATGCTAACTGCGTTTACTGCCCGCTTCCCTCTTTTTTATGCGTTTTGTGCTATGTAACAGCGTTACAAAACGCGTATTGTCACGGGGTTGTCTGTGTGTGTGTGTGTGTGTGTGTGTGTGTCCCACATTTTGTCCCGCACTTTCAAATCAGGAACCACAAAAGCTAGGCGGCTGAAATTTTGGTGTAATGTTTCCCGCCAGCGGGTGATGCGGCAAATATAAGTTCAGCCTTCCCGAACCCGCGGGTAACATGTACGGCCCCGTGAAAATTTTTTGCGGATAAATTAATATCTCAGAAACCACGGAGTCTATGAGGCTGAAATGTTAGGGTGATGGACCCCCTGCCCACGCTCAACCTTGCCTACCCGCGCTCATGAGTATCACCTATGGCCTCGTGAAAATTTTGGCCGGTAAACTATTAACTCGGGATAAACATACTTTCCCTTCAAGGTTTCGAATTTAGCTTTCCTGCGCTGGTGCGTGAAATTTTTAACTGTTTTCCAATGTTTGAACTATTTTTGCATAGACTAAAGTACAAGAGTGCGTGAAATTTTTAACTGTTTTCCAATGTTTGAACTATTTTTGCATAGACTAAAGAACAAAGCACTGGTGTGTGAAATTTTTAACTATTTTCCAATGTTTGAACTATTTTTGCATAGACTAAAGTACAAAGCATGAAAATCATTAATAGGCAATCGTTCGATGGGCCGAATTGCACAAAACGCATTATCGCACCGGCTAGTCTGTTGAAATTTTTAACTGTTTTCCAATGTTTGAACTATTTTTGCATAGACTAAAGCACAAAGCAGTGAACTGGTGCATGAAATTTTTAACTATTTTTCAATGTTTGAACTATTTTTGCATAGACTAAAGTACAAAGCAGTGAAAAGTTTTTAACTGTTTTTCAATGTTTGAACTATTTTTGCATAGACTAAAGTACAAGGAAGTGAAATCTTTAACTGTTTTTCAATGTTTGAACTATTTTTGCATAGACTAAAGTACAAAGCAGTGAAAATCATTTTCTTAACTGTTTTTCAATGTTTGAACTATTTTTGCATAGACTAAAGTACAAGGAAGTAAAAATCATTACACAATCGTTCGGTGGGGGGAATTGCACAAAACGCATGATCGCACCGGCTAGTCTGGTGCGCGTTGCTATTTATTTTCATTTTGTAACTAAAACAAACTTCGAATAACATAAAGAACTTCCAGCAATGCGTTGACTTGCAGGCCCCACTAGATCACGCTAAGATCAAGACCTCACTAGGCATGCCCCACATTTACTCAACAAACTGAATTGAATTCCAACATCTGAGAGTTGCTGACCACAGGAAGCGTAATTTTTCCCTTTTGCAGCAACAAAAACAGGAAATTAACATCACGAATAACATGTCCAGAGGTAAAGCAGCTCACGATGGAATTAACACTAATCAACGTCATAAAAACTATAAATTGGGGGAAAAAACGTGCCCATGAATCCAGCTGGGAAACGCATATCAGTGCGTACTTTGCCATCGACTTTGATCAGGCGCTGCTTGCAAATCATACGTGCCTCATTGTATGTCAGTGCATATTTTAGACGATTGCGTAGAAACAATATGAGAGGCAGTGATTCACGCAGTTTGTGTGGGCCACATCGCGGCCGTGGCGCAAAAACACCTGCAAAATCAATAATTTGCCTGAATCAAACAAGGTAATTACATTACAAAACATGAATGGTGCCAAAGCGCAAAAGAAAAATGTGAACCTGTGAGTAGCTATTTCACTGTGAAATGACCATTTTTACACTGAAATAGCTAATCGCAGCTTACATTTTTCCCCGTTTTGAAAAATCAAGCAAAATAATTGGCCAACGTACGGGCTGCCCGTGTGAAGATGCGTTTTTTCCATAGCTACCCGCAGATTTTTGCCGCTAATGGCACTGATTTTTCCGGCAGATGCTTCTAGCTAAAAGAATTTCAGACTGGCCGCCAGAACTGTCAGGAAACATCCCTTCAAAATTCCAGTCTTCTAGCTTCTCACACTTTCGAGTTAGCAACTTACTCGGAAGAATTTTTCACGGGCCCGCACGTAGGTACCACGCTTATCCACGGGTAGGGTTTGAACTCGTTAATACCCACTTGGACAGGGAACATCATCCTAAGATTTCAGCTTTCTAGTTCCTTAGATCCCCGAGTTATGAACTTACCATAAAAAAACTTTGGTGCGCCCGTACGCGGGTACCACGCGGGTGTTGGCGCCCATTTTGGGGACTGGGGCCGGCACGTGCATGTAGATTAAGTCCCCGAAATTTCAGCTCTGCAGCTTTTATAGGTCTTGAGATGAAAGTGCGTGAGAGGACACACAGACAACCCCTCGTCAATATGCGCTTTTGCATTGCATAGCTGCAAAAAACGCATAAAAATGACCGCTATAAAATAAAATGATCATTTTTCTAGTTAGGCTCGAAAATTTTCAACATCTTGGGTTGGGTAAGCAACTGGACAGAGAGACCAACTCAAACTGCGCTGAACACCGGCAAAATAAGTTCGTGGAATGGCAGCACTAAAGCATTCCTTGTAGATTACTATTAAAAGCTCTACCGGTCCAATATCATCGCGATAATTAATATTACGAAGAATTTGTGAACCTAAAAACGCGAAAGCTTAAAAAAAACCGATCGAAAAAAGCCGTAATGGAACGAACTGAAGATAAAAAAAGGCCTAACGTAAGGACATACAGGCCTGCCGGCTAAGCTTGGGTGATACGGACCAATGCGTCATTACCTCAGGCAACAGTTGGTAATGCAGTAAAGGTGAAGCAGTGGGTATGCAAAAATGTAGGATTTACATTATATGGCCTTTAAAAAAAAAAAAAAATAATTTACTCACGTGACTGCAAAACTCAGATACGTTACGTGAGGCTTTGCAAGCCCTTGGGAAGAGTCCTGACCCGGCCCGGAGAGTCCCGAACCGTCATGCTCTTATTTTACTTGTTTCTGAGGGATTCTTTAGACATGGCTGCAGGCCAATTCCCAAAAAATTCAGGTTCAGAAGTAGACCCAAAGGGATGTAGCAGCAGCAATTTCAGAGTTAGGTGCCGCTGTTTGTTCTCATGCTTGAATCAAACGGTAATTCCATAATTATCTTCATCACTAATTGCTGCGATTGCTACAGGAATCGAACCTCCGTCCTCGATGCAGCAGACAAGGGACTCCGCAACCAGCTATTGCAATTCGCTCTATCTACTCATAACCACCACTCATATGTCGAAATCACACTGCTGCAGAGACATACGACATAAATGGGGCAAATAGACTGCTCTATAAAGTGCACTTGTTTGCGGGTTTCAGAGGAAGGCGGGAAGGAGCGGAGGGGGGG